CAAACGAGTCAACTTTCCTTGCAAGTGAATTATGTTCTTGTCATTTAGCATCAAGTTCATCTTGAAATTTTTTTGTTCATTTTTTTAATTCTCCACTACGAGTGGATTCTGTTGTACCAAACTCATCTTTAAATGCATTTATATAATCACATTCTTTCTAGTTTTGTTTTTGACAGTATTTTTAAATCTTTACGTTGACATACATCACACAATTTGAACCTGAGGAGTTGATTGATATCATAATTCACATCATACTTTAATAATTCCTTCTTTCAGACCTACAAGTAAGGCTCCGAATCGAATCGAATCGAATCAAACCAGATTCCTAAATTTTTTTTAATGTCGTATTAAACACAATGAATCTCATTGTAGTGTGCCTCAATTTAATGGATACTAATGGATTAGGTTTAACAACAACAATAATAATAACAATAATAATAAAATTCTTCTCAATATAACGGATTTCTTGATATAGCCACAGTGGATAGACGGGACACATAAGAAAAATTTTATATGTTTTTATATGTTTTTATATGTGAAGCAAAAACTTTAAAAATCCGTTATGACAAGAATTTAATTATAGTCCGCCGTGACAAGGTTTGACTGTATTAATATAATAATAACGGATTTTTGGAAAAAATTTCCAATTACCCAAACTATCTGCTAAATAAGATTGTGTATATTTAATTGATAAAGGATATTATTTAGTGATGGTGGCCGAAATTATTTTGAAAAAAAGGTGGTTTCACTTAATACATATAATAAGTATTTAAATCAAATTTAAAAAACTTCAAATATAGTTTTGTCAAAGTTCAAGTCGATTAATTTCGGCAAATTTCGGCATACTAAGTAAGGTAGTTTCGGCCACCATCACTAATATTATTAATATTGATAACAATAATGGTAACGTAATGACGAATAAAAAGTATAAAATACAATTTACAGTTGCGCAATTCATTAATAAATTCATTAAATTTAAATAGCCAATGAATGATAATGATTGATATAGATTCGAATCAATCTATATTAATATATTCGAATCAGCTCGAACCGAACCGAATCGAATCAGTTCGAATAAATTATACATTTAATATTAATATTCGAATCAGCTCGAACCGAATCGAATCGAATCAGGGTAAAATTCGAATCAAAAATTAGGTGATTCAATTCGATTCGAATTCGAATTTCATTGATTGGTTCGGAGCCTTACCCACAAGAAAATTGGTGTGCGCTGACTTATAACTAACTCTTGTAAGAATACGTGATTCCCAAGAAAATTCTTTATAGCCCCAGAAACATCTTGAGAATTACCATTTTTGTTTTTCACTAGGACATTTTTATCATGAATTCTTGATATATATAATACTAAATGTTTTCAAAATAAATGCGCCCAACTCTAAGCATATTTAAATATATTTTTTGACAAAGAGGTATGTTGTGATTTCAGCAGCAGAAGGTTCTTTTATTGGATCAGGTTTTCTTCTTAAGGTGTCAGCTAGTAGTCGTTTTTCCGCCGTCACCATCCATTGCTATGAGCTGAGCCATTAAGAAAATATTTAGAGAGTTCTTGAAAGGTTTCGCACAATTCTGTAAACTCTTTTTGAGAAACCATTGATGAATAACCACAAGCACAACGGCCTACTTTAATGCTTTTATATTCCGCAGAGCCATCATAATTGCTTTCCTTCATATATATATATATATATGCTTTGCTCTGCTAGCTATTGCAGATCGCTCCCAAAAATTTTTTTTCTTCAAGTAAAGATTCTTCATATGATTGATTTATTTTATATTTGGTTCAGTATTTATTAAAAAACATGCATGGCAAAATAATTATCAATGATAATTGATCACGAAAATTATCATTTTTTTGATTTGATTTTTTTTTTGCTTCTATTAAAAAATCGTAATTTCTGTGCAATTTGCAGGTTTTTTTGTTAAATAGAGGGAGAAGGAAGAAGAGAGTAAAGAAGATGATGGCCTGTTTATCATTACAGCAGTCAAACTTCATTTCAACAAATCTATGGGGCCACAAGAAAATTGTGTCTAATATCGTTGTACCAGAATTACTAAACAAAATTCGTTAAAAGCGAGGTTTAACTGTACTACTATTTATTATTTTTTATTATGGATCATTTCTAACCTATTTTGTTATAAACATGTATGTATGGCTGGCTTTTGTTTATTTTATAGAAAAGATTTATGATAAAAATGGATAATATATATATCACAATGCTATTTAAGGATTTAGGATTTAAATTACTATAAAGAGTTATTAATATTTTGTAATAATAAAAATGTATTGTTCTTTTTTTTTTTTTTTTGGTTTAAAAAGACTTATTGATAACAATTAATTTTTTTTTTGATTTGCATTAAAGAATTCATTACAAATGTCATATCCTCAGTTGTATTTATCAAGGAGGCTTACGGTAAATAGACAATTATGAATTTGTCAAAATAAACTTCAAGCCATTTAGAAACAATGAGTAGTGCTCTCTCTCTTGTGATTCGCTGGATTTCTTTTCGTTTGATATTAGCCGCTTGAAGATAAGGACGTCGTGGATAAATATAGGAGGTTGAATTCTTTGCTCCAGAAAGAAATATATACATGACACGTTTTGTAATACGTTTGTAATAGGTATATCACATGATATGTAAAAAGCACGTAATTTGTTGTTATCATATTTCAAATGAGGTAAATTTTAATTTATTAATAAATTAGATTAATGGATTATTCTTATAGCCAAATAGATTATGTTAACAATCAATGAGATCTTTAGAGTCATTCCATATCTGGCATCTGAAGTATTAAATATATAAAGAACCTGACATTTATAGTTTTTGGGATGATTATGTGAAAACTCATATTGTGCCACATGATTGATCATCATCTAATAATAGATAACAAGACATAAAATCACCTGAATTTTATGCTAAATTAACAACTGCCAGAGAAATTAGAAAATATTTATATGAATACTGTTCCTCAATGCATGAAGAAGAAGAAGAAGAAAGGATATTAATTAGCAGAAGCAAAATTATCAATTCAGAGGAATAATTGTCAGATTCAAAAGATTATAAACACCGAGTATTTATTGTTCAGAAATGCCATGGGTGTGTGTACAAGTAGTTTGGGATTTGGGCATAGAAAATTATTAATTAATCCTTATATGGCTAATACAGAAAATAGAAAAGGCAGTTAGGAAATAAAAAAATTTTTTCGGAGATGAAAAAAACATTGCGAGGATAGATTTAATGTGATGGATGCAAGATTACTAGTTTGAAATTTTTTGCCAATACTAATACTAAATATTAATTTCCGTTTTGCTAAACGATTTCATATTAATATTATCATGGATTCTGAATCAAAATGTGTCCAAGCCACCACCTTCTAGCCAATAATCGCAAGCATATTTAATCAATTATCTGTTTTAATTAAAACCTTTCTTTTCTCACATTCAACACTTGAAAGGACCAGAGTAAAAGTTTTATTGATGTTATATAAAGGAAATCATCTGTAGATAAATTTATTTAAAATAGTTCAATTCCTTATTGATAATAATAAATTATCTGCTGTGTATATTGATCATATCACCTTCGAATATAATTCATGAATACCATCACCATGAGAAATCCCAAAACCCGCCATCTTCATCATCAATCTTGAAATAAATTGAAGAATTTAAACTGAACAATGAAGTAATTTTTATGGTGGTAATATATTAATAAATCATCTGGCAAAAAAAGAAGACAAAAGAATCAGATATTTATAGTAGTGACATGTTAATGTCGGAAATTTTTGCAGGACATCCACCATCTGGTAATAATAATAATAATAGAACATAATTTTCGTTCACAACTAAAAATATAAAACTGTCAGTCATCGTTATCAAATACGTCTGATACACCATACTATTGAAGAACATTGTGAGTTTGCTAATAGTAATAAATTAGAAGAAATTATCTTTAAAAAACAACAATAGTAATAATGTTGTACAAGCTGAATGAATTATCCAGTTTTAATTATATACTAAATCGGAAAATTGATTTTAATAATGATAATAATTTCATTAAATTACTTTTTGTTAAATTATCATTAATCAATTAATAATAATAATAGATTTTAATAACAATCAATAATGAAGGACTATAGCATTATGTAATTAAAATTACTACCGACGGCACTGAAATTTTTAAATTCCTAAACCTTCATTATTATATTAACATCCGATAATTGGTTTTCGCCTTTTACAAAAAAATTTCACGGATTACCAAAATTCATTATTTTTTTGGTTAAAATAAAAAAAGTAAATTCTCACTGTGTAATGACGCAAATTTTCATGGGAAGAAGAAGAATTAAATAATGGTGCAACATCATCCATACAAGCTGTTGGTTCATTTTAATTGGATTCTAATGGTTATTAGTAAAAAAGGACGATGAGACATAAAAATATTAATATATTTCCACACTAAAAAACGAACATTAATAGTAATCAAGTAGATAAAAAATTTTAAATAGATTAGTATCATTGTTATTATGAGATCACTACTTAAGGAAATCCATTTAAAAATATATCATGCATATAAATAACATTAGAATAAATCTAGAATAGAATTCGGGGAAGAGACAAGATTATTTATTTTTAGACCTTGTAAAAAACTTTTAAGTATGGTATGTATCACAAACTAAAAAATTTTTTGTCGAATAAAAATCATGAGAAAATCCATAAAAAAAAATCGATTTCATCATTATTATTTTAATAATGTTTGACCATGTGTATGCCTTATAAATCGGGATACTGGCCATGTGACTAGAATAAAATCCTTTGATGGCGGGACGATGGTGGTGGAATATTAGTTCTATTTGTGGCAAAGAAATAAATTAGTTGGTCACAATGAATATGAAAAGTGTATTATACAAAAATCCTTTGTTTTTAAAGTAATATTAAAAAATCCCAATTTCTAATTTAGGGGTTTTAACATTGAAAATATAACCATTATAAAAGTTGACGGGCTGGTTATTGCATATTTTTTCGAATTTAAATTTTCTTTTTTCACTAGTGAACGGTTAAACCACACTCAGTTCCTAATTTTGTGCTACCAAAAAAAAAACAGAGATCAATTAAGTCAAGTATAGAAATTTACAATAAATAATAATAGATTCTTTTTTATGATTTGTAAACATGCGAAGGGGAGAAAAATGTTGCGGAATTAATTTGGTTAGAAAGAAAAAACTTTATTAATTTGGTAAATTGTAATCGAATTCGCTCGGTGTTTTTTCGCTTTACGAATGGCGAGAAAACAGTGATACGGCGGCCGTAATTAGGGTTAGAAAAAAATTTATTTAATAAATAGAATAACGTTCATATAAAATATATCCCAATGTTTATTGTATTGTTTTTACATACATTGCTTCCGTGTTTCACGACATTTTGTACAAAGTATTTAAAATCCAAAAGTTAATTTTGACTGTGCAGACAAAAGATTTTCATTCTTTTTTCTTTTAATTTAGGGAAAAGTAAAGGAGTTTTTTAGTTTGTAGTCTAAGTTCCTGATTTTTTATTTATAATATATTGTTTTTATTAAATTTTAGAAATAGAATAACTTAATTAGTTCTAAATTTCTTTTTTTTTTTTAAAGAGAATTTTTTCAAAAATGACTAAAAAAAACATTGACAATTATTTATTTATTATAAAATTAATATTAATATTAATAACGATAACAATAAACTTTGTATCATTGAGTGTAGTTTCGGGTGAAGTGACTCTCACGCATACACTCCCGACACCAGGTCTTAGTATAATTCAATCTGATCAATATCAAGATGGTTCTATGTTATTTCGTCTCGGTAAGGGAAACCAACAAGGTTGCAATGAACCTAACTTACACATAAGTGTCTTGAGATACGACGGAGTTTTTCTTGATGTCGATACTTCAAAATTGTCGATACCTCAAAGGAACTATTGTGGCTCACCAACATTCTACTTAAATATTGATGATGCGGATTTTACGAGTTATCATTGTAAAGCTGACAATGATGATGATTTTCAAGTGGAACACAATAGACCTAAAAAAAAAAATGTGGTAATCATAATAAACATACCAAAACTATTCGTCCTACCACAACTTGGAGTTGTGGTAAAGACGATCCAAATTGCACAGAACCAACTAAAACAACTAGTTCAAAGGGAACAATCCCAACTTGTGAGCCAGGAAACCCGGATTGTCCTACTACAACATGTGCAAATGGCGATACCAAATGTACCACGGCTCCTTCTAAAACATGTTCACAAGATGACCATAAATGTAACACTCCGACTCCAGTAGCACCAAAACCAACTACAACTTGTGGACCTAATGATACCGGATGCACACAAGCACCAGCTCCAGCTCCAGCTCCAACTACAACTTGTGAACCTAATGATACCGGATGTACACAAGCTCCAGCTCCAGAGCCAGCACCAACTACAACTTGCGGACCTAATGATACCGGATGTACACAAGCTCCAGCTCCAGAGCCAGCACCAACTACAACTTGTGGACCTAATGATACTGGATGTACACAAGCACCAGCACCAGCACCAGCTCCTACGGTTATTACCACGTGTTCTGGAACTCCTGCTGCTTGTGAAACCATTACCACCACCATTCAACCAGCACCAACTACAACTTGTGGACCTAATGATACTGGATGTACACAAGCACCAACACCAGCACCAGCTCCAACTCCTACGGTTATTACCACGTGTTCTGGAACCCCTGCTGCTTGTGAAACCATTACTACCACCATTCAACCAGCACCAACAACTGCACCAAATTCACCAAATTCACCAAATTCACCGTATGTAGTTATAGAAGATTCGATTGGAGTTTACGCTACCAAAGATCAGTATATATTGGTGACTTATTATTGTGATGCTACAACAGAACAAAGATGTGTTACTGCAATAAATTGGGAGGGTCAGATAACTAATCCTGAATTGAGATTTGATTATAGTAATACTTGCAAATATGAAACTATTATTAAGGGTTATGATTCTAATACTGATGGTTTTCTAAGGGCATGTTATGTCAGTGATACTAGCACACAAAAACTTTTTTGGGAAACATATACAGCTATGTTAGTACTTATTATTATTATTTGACTTGACTTGATTTGATTTGATTTGATTTGATTTGATTTGATTTGATTTGATTTGATTTAATTTAATTTAATTTTGATTTCTAATGCTATTAAAAAAATTTTTTTTAAAAAAAGTAATTTTGAAGGAACATTCACACCTCTTAAATCAGGAACAATCAATACATTCACATTCACTTCCACGAATTATACGAATGCTACATACATTTTTCCAACAGAAGATGGTGGTTATTCCGTGATTATAGCCAGTGGAGAAATCGACAAGACATCATGGTCGGTGTCCACATACTTTTTACCAAAAGATGATGATGCGATAGGCCCATTCGTACTGTATACAGAATCAACTTTAGTTATCAATTCATTTAATATTGAAAGATGCAATATAGCATATCAAAGTTTTGGATATAGCTGTATTATAAGTATATTGACAATAGAAAATACCGTGGAAAAAAATGTTTTTGTAAATATAGATTTTTATTCCACAGGTGCAACAAACAACGTGACACAGTTTGAGTTGACTCAGCTTACTAGTTGGGAGGTTTTAACTGTTGAAACTTTGTATCATGGTGGATGGATTATCACGGCGAAAAATGCTAATAATGATATCAATGGTCTTGTGATTAGCAATTATGGTACTTATTTTAGTGATTGGGGTCTTTCTTCACAAACTATTAAATATAGTACAGATTATGGAACTCTCAGAAATAATACTGTTTGGGTCATCCTTTATCCTTTGGTCCAATCATCTGATTCAACTACTTGGACTTTAATGTCCACTAGCACACTAACTGAATTTACCACTGGTAATATTGTATTCTATTTATATATATTTATATTTTTGTAATTTATTTTTTTTTTCCTCCTATTTACTAACTTGCCAATGATTAATTAATAATAGTTCAAGGAGGTACTAATGGACCGGGTGGTTATGGTAGCTCAAATATCGTTAATACACAACCAGAAAAAGGAGGTAGATTTGAATATGGTGCGAAATATATTAGCATTGAATACAATGTACCAGTCTTATTAGCAGAAAAGAATATCACAATTTACGAAAGATCAACGGACTCGTCATCCCAAGGTATAATGCGTCAAACCAGTTCTGGATTATCGCCATTTGTCAGTATAAGTGATAAAGAGAGTAAAGTGGTACAGGTTCAAATGATGAAAACTTCATTGAACAAACCAAATACAACTTATTACGTTACCGTTGACAATGGGTTTGTAAAAGAAGATAGCAGACAACAAAGTCTGATTGGTATAACAGGAAAACAGTGGAATATTACAACCGGCAGTGATGGGTATGATGTTTCTGGAGGAACGTGGGATAAGGCAATTGTTCGTTTGACGAATCCAGGCACTGAAAAATATTTGTCGTTTAATCAAACAGATAAAACAGTTTTTATTGATGGAATGAAAACAGGAATATCGACAGCGGTTGGTTGTGAGAAGTCAATTGTCGACGTATCATTTCATTATCAATATGATTGGAAACATACACACGTTGATCAAATTTTATTAAGTGTTGATTTTTCAACTACACCGAATGGAACAAGCCCTGCAACACTTGTCTCTTATTTAAATGATACTATTGTTAATAAAGATTATAATACTCTTTCAAAAGGTGCATCAACAATGTACTTGGATTCTACTCATGGAGCTTATCCAGCAAGTAAGTTTTTTTCTTTTTAAAAAAGATGATGACGATGATGATATTGAGAAATATTTTTGACCCTTAATAATTTTTTTTAAATTTAAATAAAATTTATTATAGCTAGATTATGGGATACTTATAAATGGATTCTTATTGGATTTTTTATTGGATTAGCAATTTTATTAGTTTTGTTGTACTGGGCCCACCTAAAGAACAGAAGTGGAGAAAATTTCACGTCTATTGTCTTGTTCCCAATCATTCTTATAGATTTTGTAATGGATGTTGGTTTTGTTGCAAATTACGGAAAAGATTTAAAATGGTTGTGGCCTACAAGGTAACAATTAATCAAGTTTAATAATAAATTCTAAAATCTTGAATAAAAAATGGAAGGAAAGATGCTAATATATATTCTCTTCATTTCCTGACAGTCTTGTATTTTTAATAGTTCCTATTGTATTAAATTGTATATTTACATTTTTCACCTTTTCAAATGAGCTATCGATCAAAAAAGCTGAAAAACGTGGTGAACGCTTTTCTAAATGGTGGCAAAAATATAGTCTGATAGCATGGATATTCGGAATTTTATCATGTATTGATACCGTAGCATTGAGTGTCTTGTCATCAAAGACTGCTGGTATAAAATCACTGAGTGCACCATTTTCACGTAAATGCATCATGGAAATCTTTTTCATAACAGCGTTTATTACGTTCATTGAAGATTTACCTCAATTGATTATTTATAGTCTATATCTTTACTGGACTGTTGTTCCAGCAATATTGCCAATATTGGTATTATCGTCTTGTTTATTATTATTATTATTGAAATTCATCGTTTTATCTTGTTTCATTTGTTGTCATAATCACCAAGATGAAAAATATGATGATGAACATGGTAAAGATTCAGATTCTAGTGATGATGATGATCATGACATACCAAGAGGACCAAATGAAAAATTAACAGATATGCCACCTCCTAAAGAAAGCAAAGTTATTAAAAAACCTGATGATAGTGATAGTAGTAGCAGTAGTGGCTCTGATGTTTCTAGTGGTGACACTAATAAATCTACTCCTACCAAACCTCTTACTAAATATGGTAATGAACCACCAGGAAAAGAAAAGAAACTAAGAACAATTGGTTCTTCGCCTACTGATGACAAAGATGATTTAACTAAATCTGCTAATACATATAAAAACGGTATGTAATCAATTAACTTATTAACTGATTGGTTGGTTGATTGAAAAATTAATCAATTATGTTTTTCCCTTTTTTTTTTGTTTAGTTGGCAATGAACCAAAGACAATTACAAGTAATATTAATGATGATGATGCTACCAACAGAACTTCAGCAACAAGCGAATTAGATATTGCCGCTATTGATTATACACCACCAATTGATGATGATGATGAAAGTGGTGATAACTCTCATAAATACGGTGGATATAGTAGTGGATACGGATACGGTGGCACATATATTTCTAGTGGCTATCCCATCATTACTAGTAATACTACAACTACCAATAAAACACCAGATGATACTACGACCACCAATAAAACACCAGATGATACTACAACCACCAATAAAACACCAGATGATACTATTACATCTACACCCGAATCCACATCACCAGAATCATCGTCTCCTCCTGTGACTTCTCATACTGCCCCTAAACAAATAATTAAAGATGATGATGACGATGATATTATTGATGCAACTACCGCAGCTACCATCATAGCTACTGCTGCTGCTGCTACTACTACTACTAAAAAAGATAAAAACAACAAAAAAGATGTTGTTAATCCCTCATCAACCTATTCTTCAACACCTACTACCAAAACATCAAAATCAACCACTTCTGCTTCCTCAACAACCTATTCTTCAACACCTGTTACCATGATATCAAAATCAATTACTTCTACCACATCAAAAGATTCCAAGATCCCTACCCCTTCATCCCCCAACACAACTACAAAAAGTTACAGTCCATCATCGCCTGTTATAAGTAAAGTCACTACAGAAGAATCTTCAAAACTACCAACCTCCCCCTCATCAAGTAATAAAACTATTTCATTTTCAGCGCCCACTTCCACAACTAAAAGTACTAAATCAAAATCAAAAAAAGTTATTCAACCTCAAGGACATACTAAGACAACAATCAAAAAAACTAATAATGACGACAATAATAAATTAGCAAAAGGTGGCGATGATACAAAGGTCACAAGAACAGTAGTAACAGGAGATGATGATGACACAACAATCAGTGGTGGATCAAGAATTACAAGGACTGTAATAGTAGAAGGTGATGACGATGACGATGACGTTACAACTAGCGGAACAAGAACTTCCAAAACTATCAGAAGAGTAGTAGTAGAAGGTGATAACGATAACGATGACGTTACAACTAGCGGAACAAGAACTTCCAAGACTATCAGAAGAGTAGTAGTAGAAGGTGATGACGATGATATAACTAGTGGTGGATCAAGGATTACAAGAACTATAATAGTAGAAGGTGATTCTGATAACGATGACGTTACAACTAGCGGAACAAGAACTTCCAAGACTATCAGAAGAGTAGCAGCAGAAGATGATGACGATGATATAACTAGTGGTAGATCAAGGATTACAAGAACTGTAATAGTAGAAGGTGATTCTGATAACGATGATGTTACAACTAGTGGATCAAGAACTTCCAAAACTATCAGAAAAGTAATAGTAGAAGGTGATGACGATGATACAACTAGTGGTGGATCAAGAACTTCAAGAACCATAAGAAAGGTAATAGTGGAAGGTGATGATGATGGTAATATTGATTACGATGAAACTAGTGGTGGATCAAGGACTTCAAAAACCATAAGAAAGGTAATAGTAGAAGGTGATGATGATGGTAATATTGATTATGATAATATTACAACTAGTGGTGGATCGAGAACTATGAGAACTGTAGTACTAGAAGGTGATGACGACAATACAACTAGTGGCGGATCAAGAACCACAAGAACTGTAGTAGTAGAAGGTGATGATGACGGTAATACAAATAGTGGTGGATCAAGAACTTCAAAAACTATAAAAACTGTAACAGTAGGTGATGACGACAATATCGATTACGATGATATTACAAATAGCGGTGGATCAAGAACATCTAAAACCATAAGAACTTTTACTAGTAGTAGTGAAGGTGGACCAACAATAGATCAGTCTGATGAAGATGAATTTTTTGAATCCAGTACCACCACCACAACAACAGATAGTGATGGAACCAAAACTATTAAAACCACAAAATCTTATAAATAAAAGATTCTACTAATAATGATATAAATTTAAAACAATCTTATATATATATATATATATAAATATATATATATTATATTCTTTGACTTTATTTATCACCATTATTTGTTTCACTACTAATAATCGAGTATTTTTTAAAATATATATTAGATGTGTTACAAAGTTAGATATTATTTAATTGTAAAATAATATATATAATATAATATATATATAAATAACTTTTTCTAAAAATATATAAAAATTTTTTGTTAAAAATCATTAATAAAATTAATTATTTTTAAAAAAAAAATCAATAATTGTTAATTAATGTATGGTAATTAAATTAATCTGTCACCTCTAGAAATTTTAATCTTTCCAATACCTTTTCTGGTACACCTATTTTCGTTTTTGCATCTTCAAGGTTTTTAAATGGTCGCTTTTTGAGAATTGTGTACACTCAGCCTTCACCAATATCATCAATTGTCATGAGCTCTGTGTAAGTTGCAGTATTGATATTAAATGGGCCTACAATAGCATAAACATATGCTCTACCAGCAAATGGCCTAAAGTATTCTTTCCGTTGGGCCCATCCACGATCCCAGAGTCCATCGGAAGTTCGAAATTGTAGTTTGGGCAGTTGTAAAAAGAATAAAAAGTCTTTATCACGTGCAGGTTTGTTTCGTTCATTTTGATAATCATTCAGAGAAAGTGATTTTAGTTTCCACCTTTTAGCCTGTTGAACTTCATTTGGATTATTATTTTTTGATTGGTCTAACCCAAGAAAAGAGTCACAATATGGAGCAGATTGTGTATTTATGATAATGTTTACCTTACCGAACATTGACACATGCACCTTCACATTCAATATCCACTCTTTTTTACCACAAGTAGCAGAATTTGTATTCACATGATGAATAGCACATTTCAGTTTTAGATGATGATTCTTGAATTCGGAATCATCATTCAAATGTAGACGTGCTCCAGCATGAATTTCTGAAATTGTTGTCAACTCATTTTCACATAGTACCTTAGATTTTAATGAACAAAAGGTTGTAATGAAATGTTCCAACCTTCGGTC